AGTCTAAAAGACCAATAAGGCCTTTGAACTAAACTTTTTAACTGCTTGAGCTTTATGGAGACAGAAATTGACTAGAGGACAAATAAGGCTTTTTGAACTGCTTGAACTCAATGTGAGCGGAATTCGACTAAAAGACAGATAAAATCTTTTGAACTGCTTGAACTTGACGGGACAGAAATATCAAGGGAAGTAGTAATGCTTCAATCGGCAATTACTTACCTGGCGTCCCGGAAATGGTGCAGGTCTAGTCAAATCGTCAAGTACGTCCTTTGGCTCTTCACCCGAAGTGCTGCGCCATCGGTGCATCTGGTCGACGGCTTTTAGCACGTTTTTAACGCTGAAATGGGATTTTGGAGATAGTTGCGCACTAATAGAGGATTTTGCCGATAGCCTTGCATATCGTTGTCCAAAAATCGTTTTCAAGCATATTTACAAGTTTTAGGCTTCTCAAAGGGTATCTGCTAACTTGCCCTGTCCGACAATTATCAGTTAAGATTTTACTCACCTATTCCGGCTCGAATCATCCAACCCCATTTTCCCAAAAGCCGACGTGATCACTGAACTGCTCCAATGTGGCCGAATCCCGGATGCCGATTTCAAAATGTGCATCCGCTTCTTCCGCGGCATCTCCTCCTCCATTTTATACGGCAACTCCTCGTCCAGCATGTATCGGAACGGGATTTTGCGCCTGATTTGGGCGGCCTCTTCCTCGTCTTGCTCTGATTCGTCCTCAGAGGCTAGGGAATCGTTGAGCCTGTCTTTTCGAGCTCCGGAATGACGCCAAGGTCCGTGTCATCGAAGGAGTCTCTCCGTTTGTAGGCGCTTTGAGGAGAGAGGGTGCGATTGTTACGTCGTGCTCTTTCCTAAAAGTTACGTTTTACAGCAATCTCTCTGCGATACAGTAATACACAAAATTCTATGATTTACGGAATTCCCAACCTCCCTAGAAGTGGCTACCGGCTTCCAGTAGTCCCCGTTAAGCTCGCGACTTTCGATGGATTGGGTGACCTAGAAAAAAAGTATTTTTTGTCACTCGATAATAGTATTGATCGCATTTAATACGCTTTATAATCACAATATATTTATATGCAAATAAAGTCTAAAACGTACCCTCTTTAGCGCGTTCGTCGAGTCTCTCCGATCCCGAATTCGCTGGCCAGAGCCGAAAATCGGAGCCGGTTTCTGCTCGCCGATGACGACAATGTCTAACAAATAGGCTTAGACCTTGCTTAAGCTTAGGCTTATGCTTAGACTTGGGCTTAGGCTTAGACTTAGGCTTAGGCTACGATCTACCTTCCCCATCCGACGCGTTCGACTCCCAGCCCGGGCCCACATTGTCGAGTAGATGAGCGTAGGGGTCATCGGCCTAAAATACATTAATCCCGCAAGCTACCGTAACCGCACCTCCACGTTCTCATCAAAGAACTTCTGAAGCTCCCCATCCTGGTCCTGATCAAGTTCAGCCTTGTTTGGGCTCGATTTGGCGATGGGGGAAGATAGCGGGGTCTCATCATCGTCCTCTCCATAGATCGATTCCCGCATTTTTCGACTCATCTTCCGTTTCCGCTTGTAACGGTCTATCGTCCTCGTCGTAGCCTTGGAAGCCTGGTCGTCATTCGCCCCACTTGGGCTCATTAATTCCAAGCAAAAGGTTCTGAAGCTTCGTTAGCTCCCACCTCTCGTTCCTCCTCCTCGTCTTCACTCTCTCTGTAGCCTCATTGCCCGCTCCTGCACTTTCTCATCTTCCCCCCACGCTCTGATCCAGCTTCACTGATGCTCCTTTCTTAAGCCTGAGCTTGGGGACCGGCTTCAGCTCCTCCTCATTGACTCCATCTTCCGGGGAAGGCTCCAATGACGTAGACGAACCATCAAATCTTCGGATCAACTTCAGCGGCTTTATCTTTCAAGCTGAGCTCCGCGGCTTTGGCGTCCTTCTTGGCCCACCACATCATGTCCTTCGACTTTTCCTCCTTTTTGTCTTTCTTTTTCTTTTCTGGGTTTGTTACTGATGTTTGGCGAGAAAGGGCTTAAAAATAGAGTCTTGGGAACTTGACAAACTGCTGATGAGGACGGGATCTGCTTGAAACCTCTCCTTCTGAATTTACAACGGACAGCTTTTAGCTTGTCGCCTGGTGTTTATGACGTAGCAAACGCCATTTCTTTCGACGATAAGTACCAGAGTGGCTCGTAGGGTGGGCCTCGGCTGGACACCAACCACACCGCACGCAGAACGTTTGAGGGATGAGAAGCGGCAGGACACTGCGCGGGGGATCGTGTAGGAGTCAGTCGTTCGGTTCTGAAAACATACTATAAAAGTGCTCGCAGTCTGAGTTTTTGTGCGTTAGGCTTAGGCTTAGGCTTAGGCTTAGGGCTTAGGCTTAGGCTTAGGCTTAGGCTTAGGCTTAGGCTTAGGCTTAGGCTTAGGCTGGGCTTAGGCTTAGGCTTAGGCTTAGGCTTAGGCTTAGGCTTAGGCTTAGGCTTAGGCTTAGGCTTAGGCTTAGGCTTAGTCATAGCTTATGCTTAGGCTTAGGCCTGAACTTAGGCTTAGGGTTCTTCAACTCGACCCACCTTCCTTGATACCCTTCGGTGCGATCTGGACGTCTTCTGACCTCTTCTCCTTCATCTGGGGCTTGACAAAAGAAAATCGTTCCACGGATGATTTGTGGAGATAGATTTGGCAGGAGGAGTTCGATATTTCAAAAATTCAGTGAATTGCGTGTCGTAAGCGATAAAACCCACCTCCGGATGCTCTCCGCCTTCTCGTATCGTCTTCGATAGCTTTCGCACGACGGGGAGGGGTCTAAAAGAATTGTTAATCAGAGTCGTCGGTTTCTAGTCTTCTATTCTTTAATTCCTTTATTTAGATTACCTCTCGTAATGGAGAATCGTCTTCCTCGTTGAACGACAGCCTCTTTCGATCCCTGCCGAGGATGCGACTCTTAAAAATTTCTCAATTAAGCCGAAATCGTCAAAAAATTGCGTATTGCCTGCTAATCATGGAAAAGGAAAAGCTTCGATCTGCTTAAGCATATGGAAACGACTCACAGTCTTCTTGATCTTTCTAGAAGACCGCCGAGGTGATAGCGTTTCGCTGTCATCAGAGCATTCATGCGACACGTCGACGGCCAGTTCCTGAAAGAGCGTCTGGTTTAAAAGTATTTTACACATGAAAAACTAAAGCTGAAGAAGCCCTTTAAAGGGATAAGGACGACATAAGTCAAGTAATCTTCCAGTGCATTTAAGAAAAGTACCTCTTTAACCGTAATCTCCTTCGTCAACACCGGCGCATCTAGGATCATCGACTGTTCTTCTGGAGGGGGAATGGGCAAAGTAGGGTCTCTAAAAAATTGTAAATCGTAGTCTATTAAAACTTTCAGTAATATACAACGATAGTTTTAGACATTATAAACAAAAAAATATTGTCTTAGAAATTTTATAGCGAGGCCCACCTTTTTCCCATCTATCTTCACGCTCTCGTAGGTTAGCCGTGCTCTTTGCATGTACCTTTAAAATTTAGAGATTGTGAGAGAGAGAAATAGAGAGAGAGAGAGAGAGAGAGAGAGAGAGAGGGAGAGAGGACTGAGATTGAGCAACAAACTTACTCGTGTAAGTAGCTCGAACGACTGCATCGACGTTATTCGGGTCCATTTCTTCGATCGTGTCAATCCAAGCCCGAACGATTACTGTAAGAAAATGATCCATTTTTTAAGATTTTCATACCCTGCAGTTTTAGAGAATCTCCGAGGAGCTCCACCTCTCGCCACCACCTTGAGCCTTCTACTCGAAGAACTCGCATTCTGAAAAAAAAAAGAATTAACGGAATTTGGAAGATAGGGAGAGAGCGAGAGAGAGAGAGAGAGAGAGAGAGAGAGAGATCCAGGACTCGGAGAAACCTACAGTTCCACAAAAACCCCGGGCAACCGCCCAACCTGGGCCGTTCACGAATTCGCGGGTCGAAGTGGTCAGCGAGGGCTTCTTGCGGGCCGGTGAAGTTGATCTGGTTGGCGAGAAAGGCCCTAAACTTGGGTTTCTGATAATTTTGCTGCCACTGTCGCTTAAAGTAAATTTTAAGAATAATACAAGCCGATTTTCCCAATTCTACCTTCACAGTCCTTTAGTTCCTCAATTATCCAACGTTTCTAGGTACAACTTACATAAAAACTCACCAATTCGCTGCTTTTGTCAACCGTGTACTGGCAACAAGCTTCATGTCTTCTTCATGGCCCCAAAAACCGAGCCGCCGGTCGACCTGAAAAGTGTTTGTTTAATTATGTCCTTATATTTTTAGATAAAGTTTTAAAAAATCAAATGAAAGATCAGAAATTTA